TTTATTGAAATCAGCTTGCTTGGTTTTTCTCTCCGTAGCACGGCTCTAAGCGAGGAGTAAAGGCACTGACATCACCGGCATGAGTCTGAGGTAACACCAGGGAAAGGAGGGGCAAGCACACACTGTTCAATCAGCTGCTCTGGCTGCAGATCTGCTTGGCATCTCCTATTTGTGTCACTTGTCTCAAAATAGGAACTGCCAGCACTTTGCTAAATGCAGTGGAAACTCCTTTTCTTCCAGTGCTGGGGCTTGAAAAATCTCCTGGAGCCTCCTCCTCTGCTACGCTGCTTCTGGAGCATCCCCCAGATGCGCCTCGGGAAGGTGCACCAGGCAGCTCTACCCCCTCTGCAGCACCAGGATGTTACAGGGACCATTTATTTCTTTTTTTCTCCCCAAGGTGAAGGCTTCCCAGGCTGCTGCCCTGCGCCCTGGACTTCTTCACACTGCTGCTGCTTCACCCCCAGTCTGCAAGCACTTGCAGAGGGCCGGGGGCTGAATCCACCACTTCGCAGTCCCTGGCTCAGGCTCCCAGCCAGAACCTTAAGGAAGTAAAAGCGGGGTCTGCAACTACAGCTATTTGAAGTGCCTCCAAGTTGGCTGCCTGGTGGGTTGTGTAACTCCTATGGCATCTGCAGCAGCCGTCCTCCTGGGAATCCTGTGCCTTGAAGTCCTTGACAGAGCCACTCTGACACATGTTCTGCATAGGTGTTTTCTTTCACCACTTAATCAGCAAATGGTCGATCTCTTGTTCATGTCCCAGACAAAATGGGATGCAGTCAGACCTAGGTAGGGTCACTGCGGTGACTCGGCCCGGCAGGAGCAGAAATGCATTAGAAATTTTCTGCTGCTTCCTGCTGCAGCCACCTTTACACTGTGCATGCTTGGTACATTGAACAACAGGGATCCAAGTCTGTATGGGGTTTCAGGGGCTTTAGTAAGACATTAAATCAGCTCATAAAGTGGAAAAAAGGGACAGAGAAGGAGAGTCTTCCTGTAATGAAGACTCCAGTGGAATACTTCATCCTGAAACCTGCTCAGTGCCAGTCCGTGGCAGCAATCACAAAATTTCAATAGGAAAACAAATAATTTCTACTCGCTTCATCATTAAATAGTGGCACTAGAAGCTGACTTTATAATTTAGTTGATTAAAGAGCCTCACAAACCACTTATTCTGGGAGCTCCCTGCAGTGTCAGGCTACTGTCCCCAGTACCCCATCCCTGAGAGGGATGGAGCAGTCCCACAGCCCTGGGAAAGCTCTGCTTGTCTGCCTTCTTCCTCTTACTCGTGTATTTTCTTCCTCCAAAAGCTGCCGTTACCTCTCACTCCAACAGCATTGTCCCTGAGACTGAACTGCACCGTCAGTAAAATTGTTTTAATAAATGATACATTGTGTGCAACCTCATTCTTCTGCGTTCCACATAATGGAGATTGGAACTTCATAAAAACCAAGTTTTCAATGCCTCACGCATTCTTTCTTCGTAGGAATTAGGCTCTTATTTAAAGGGTGTTTTATTTGCTGATTACAAATAGTGCATTCATGCATCGAAGGAAGTTATGCCTTGATTCTCAGCAGGCAGAAATCAACATGGGCTCCTGACTCCAGAGAGCTCTGTTGATTTCCCCCCGCTGAAGAGATGACCCTTTCTTCCCAGGCAGCTCTGCCTTTCCCTGAACAGTTTCCAAATGATGACTCTACCCAAAGATAAAGAAGTTGATACGTGTCATGTCTAATCCACAGAAAAGGAGGATTTGTGACTCACAAAGTACTTAACACTTCCTTGGTTTGATGCCTGGCTCAGAAAGGTTCCTCCTGGCTGAACCGGTGTGTTTGTAAGGAAAATGCAAGCACACTGAGATCCTGCTGGGGCCTGGGAGTGAGAAGGACATGTCCTGCTGTCCAGGTACGGCCTGGGTAAGATAAACAGGAACACCCAGAGCCCCTCGAGATCACTGTACCTGTCTGAGAAAGCCTTGCAGGCTTTTCTCCTCCCTTTTCCCAATGACACTATGCTTATAGCCAGCTCAAATCCCAACCAAGCCCTATTTACAGGGAGGGAGCTCAGGCACATCCATTTAAGAGTGTGGAAGATCTCACATACCTCAAGGGTTGTGGAAGTACCTCAGGAGAGTGAGCAAAATTCACCAGAAGGACATCCAGGACGCTTACTGCCCCTCAGCTTGGTGGCTGCAGAGCAGCACAGCTGGGGGCAGAACTGCCAGGGAAAGAGCCTGTGCAGCCCGTCAAACACACAGAGACCTCCAGGAGCTACAGGTGGGAAGCACAAAGTCAAGAGATGGTGTTAGGCAGGCTTCCTTTACTTATTTCATAAATAAGTACAATCTTCCCCCAGTCTGCTAATATTAGCTCTGGTGTGGAGGCTATTTCCTGCATTCTTGTTTTAAACTTTTAATATTTTTTTTTTCAGTTTAGCACCTACCATTATGTGCTTGCTCACGCTCCATTGGGACCGTTACTATTTGTGCTTCTGTTTGTTGTTTTATACTTCATTTCCCCCCCATCTTGATTTTTAAATGCCCTTTGGAGAGTTCAGCGAGTGTTCAACTTCATTTATTCCTACAAGTGAAAACCCTGTGTTTAACGCCACGCAGGATTCCTTCCACTTCGCGGTCCGGTAATGAGCTCTCTCCAAATTACTCTGCCTTGAGAGTATTCTCAGTAAGGAAATGTGCAACATCTGAATTCACCAAGTATTTTTAAAGTTTGATGCATTTAAATCTTGGCCTCTGCAGATTTAATCTTCGGTTAGGCTCCTATTTTTATTCAGTCCTGTAATCACACATGCTTGAGGGTTATTTATCATTTCCCAGTAAATATGGAGAAAAACATGCTCCCTTGACACCTTTAGGATCCTGGCTGTGGTTGGAGTGCCTGCAAGGGACCAGCCCATGCTGCAGCTCTCACCAGCGGTGCTGTCCCCCGGAGATGCCCTGCGCCAAGCTCAGCCACGCCAGAAACCAGAGCTGCCAAGTGCGATTTCTGGCTGGGGCAACCAGGCAACTTTCAGACATATGTGAAATTTAATTTGGAAATTAGTATTATTGGTCCCAGCATAAACAGGAGAAGAGAGAACAGGCTTTGCGTTTTCTGCTTTATGGGCTTGGAGGTAATGGGAAAATCTTCCAACATATGATTGTTTACCAGAGCCGCAGTCCCAACATCCAACATGCTCCAGATTTTTTAAAGCGTTCGTAATAACAATGGTCCAGATCTGTATCTTAGAGAAGCCAAAGAGCGTCTTTCACTTGGATTCTACTGAGCCATATCCTTAGCAGGCATAAAATGGCCCAGCTCCAAAAAAATTAGCAGAGCTGCAAACATTGACACCAACTAAGGATCTGGCCATATGTGGATTTGGATGAACACTTTGATTTTATATTTTCCAGGCATAGTGCAAAACATTGGCTAATTGGCAACATTTGTATTTAAAAGGCAGTTAAAATAGTAACTGTATTTATACATCCGTGTATAGAAAAATAGATGCAGAGTGGGAGGAGAGAGCTCAATGGATGCAATCTTCTGGAATGGAGAAGCTGAAATTCAGTTTTAGGGCAGCAACAGGCTCTCTTCACAGCCTCCTGTCATTTATTTCCAGCCCGTTGCTTTGCAGACCTTAGATTCTTCTTGGGACTGCTTTTGAATTTAGAACAAGTAACGCAGCGATACTTACAGAAAGGCCAAGTGGCTTTTCAGATGTGTATTTTTTTATTAACCTGCAGGTCCCCAGCTTTCAGCTAGTTGGTAAGTTGGGACAATTATAAAACTGTTTGGCTGCTCCCTTTTGCACAGAGAATCCAGATGAAGTGGAAGCCATGCAGTGTCAGGAAGGGTGACATTTCTCCGAGGTGCGCACACACACACACTGCAGAGCAGCAAGAGAAAAGCAAACGTATCTTGGTCCTGCCTCCAAGGGGAACTGGAGCGTTTGGGAAAACCCTACCCTAGGCAGCTGAGCTGGTGATTTCTTGCCTATTTCCTATTTTTGTTCCTCGATTTATCACTGATGTAGCGCAGGAATGAAGCGCCTGGCCTCTAGGTGAAGCCGCAGAAGGACGCTTGCCCGGCCTCCCTGCAAGGGGTGCTGCAGAAGCAGGCAGATCACAGGCGAGGTGGCAAATATTGACTTTAGGTTTGTTTGTGTGAGCCTGATATGAATCCCCACACAGACCCAGCTATTTATCAGGTGAAAAACTATCCCATTATGAGTCCCTGCTCCAGAACCAATATTTGATTTTAATATTATGTGTACAGGCACTTGTAAAATAAACAGACCTGTTTGCGCTGGTATCCAGGCTCTTGCAGACAGCGAGTCAGATACATTGTTCTGCTCTCCTCTCCCCTTCCAGAGCAAGATCATGGAAAACTTTGGGGAAGAGAATAGAAGTTGAACCAAAAAGAACAGATCTGTATTTCAGGGCTGGGAAAGACATGAGGCAATTGCCATTGCCTGTGCCAGAGACGACGGCAGATTTAATCAGTCAAATCTTTCCTCAGCTGCCACCTCCGTGTGAAGAGTGCTTGTGGCAATAAAATTTCCACTTTGGGGAATGCAGCAGCAAGAAGTAAGCAAATCAAAGGCAAAAATGATGTTTTAAAGGCAGCTATTTCTGTGATCCATTTCACACCAGCCTCACCACCACTCCACAGAACTGATTCAGCACCAGTTGCTTGTTTTCCACTCAAAAAGCCCTCCCATGCAGTGCTTTGATCAGGGCAGCTCTGTGACACTGCAAGGGTTTGCCTTCATAGATGACCATCCTCCAGGATAATTTGGCTCTTAGGGTCTTCTTCTGAGTTCTTTCACAGCTTCATGAATCTGAAATTACCCCTTGGAGCTGATGGATTTGCTCTTGGGTAGATCAGGAGCCCAAGGAGAACCTAGGCTGTAATTTGGATTTCTTCTACAGATTGAACTTGCAGTTTATCAGTTGCATCTGTGGGCTACAAGGCTCACTGCAGCCTGGACAGATGGTTTGAAAGATATAAAGGGTATGAGAGGAATAATCCAGCCATATCCTGCTGGACTTAGCATCTCCTCTGTGCCGTTCTCGTTCCATGCCCTGGATCCCTCAGGGGAACTCATCAAACCCTGTTTGCTTTGACCAGACAAATGTTTCTTTCCAGTAGTTTGAACTGCAGTATTAAGAAGCCTGTTTAATTAAGGTTTCTGCCACTTAAATCAAGCAGAACACCATGCAGAGCACTGAGTAATAGGACCCTGATCTCCACAGCAGCTTTTTTTTCCACCATAAAGAAAAATAAACAGCATTCATGCAACTCACCAATCTGCTGTGTGCTTTCCAGCAGTGGTCTCTGATGCAAATTGCGAGAGCCTGAGCTCTTGCCTCTTCTGTGCCAGGGACAGGAATAGGGGAGGATGTGAGACACTGCCTCCTGCATGCATCGTGTGCTTGCCAGGAAGGCTGGAGCACTGTGTGACAAGGTAAAGTCCTCCCTGCTCCCTAAAACTGCCATCTACCCTGCCAAGCTGAATGTGCTGTTTGTATTCCAGTCCCTGCTTCGATGCTCCTGCTGCAGGGATGGATGCTCTGCTGGCTGCTACACCAGGTGGCCCTGAGGACGTGACCAAGGCCGCTCTGCTGGTGCTGCAATGGGGCTGTGTTTTGCCGCTGACGTCTTATTTAATTTCCTCTCTTCTGGCTTGAGAGGAATTCTCTTTTCTTGGCTTTCATCCTTCTGGAAAGCAGCAGGTGTTTTCAGTGTCTCTAATTCTTGAGGATAAATATATTTGTTGCTTCACCTGTAGCTACTCCTTAATAGCACTCCTGTTTACATTACGGCTGGGATATGCTCCTCTCTGTCTGGCTTTATTTCCAGCTTTCATTCCACTCCCTTATGCAAAGCAGAGACAGTAAATCTCATTTCATCAGGGTGTATTCATAACGAATTCATATCCAAGCCTCTTCACAGACTTTTGGCTTTAATTTATTGCATTTACACCTCCAAATAAGCAACATCTTTTCGTCTTGCACAAGAATAATGTTTTCAGAAGATGTTAGAGCTAGATAGGATAACTGCAGGAGTTCCTAAGAGAGCTATTTGGCGAACCAAAGCTGGGCTGTGGATTCCCAGCTGTAACCTATTCTACACCTTGCACAAGAAGCCATTCTCTTTCTTCTGTGTGCCTATATTTCTTTAGAGTCATGGCATTGTAACTGAAATATTGTTTCTTCCCATGCTCTAGTAAGCAAGTCCCTTTTTGTGAAGCATTTCCCAGGTCACCAGTATTCAGCTCATGGGCTCCAGCTGCTCCTGACTTTTAATTTTTTTTCCCATTGATTTATTTGCAAACTTCAGTATCTCTTTAGCCCGTCTCTGAACAATGTAAGTGGGTCGAGGAGAGCTAAACTCTCCAAACACCAGCGTCCTAATTAATGTTCAAAATTAAAGTGCTAATTGTGAAATGGCGTGTGATTCAGCTGCCTCCATTCAAAAGCCCTTTATCAGTGTGCTTGAGGCATGTTTTTCCTTTGTTTTCAGGCTGCAAAGGGGGATTGCAGGGACCTTATAAAAACCTGGTAACTGCTCAGTTTGCCTGGGATGCTTTGACAGAGCCACGCTGGGGACAGCAGCACGTGCTGTGATGCCGCTGACCTCGCTGGCTCAAACTCTCCAAGGAGCGATGCTGCTTGGCTTTGAAACCCAAACGCCAGGCAGGGAGCTGCTTGGTGCTTGACTACAGGACTCAGGAACGGAGAAATGCAATTGCTTTCAAGTGTTAGAAGTGTTAGAGACCGGGGGATTTATGGGTCTCACGTCTTTTGCTAAAGCAGGTCCATTAAGCGGACCGCCACTGGTCTTTTCTTCTTGCACCAGCTAGGCTTGAAGATTGTTTTTCCCAGTGACTCATCAAGGGCTTTGTATCATTTAATGCTTTCAGAGATAAATAATCCATGACATCATCTAACAAAGAGAGCAATTGTAAAAAAAAAAAAGAAAAATCAATTGTTCTTGGCACCTATTGTGAGCAGGAAACCTTTGGTGGTGGATATTGAGTTACAATCACCATTTTAGACATTTTTTGGCTGATACTTGGTGCCAGAGGATTCCGCAGCATGAAATAATTTCTTGACGTGGTGTGTTAGTCAGGGATATCAGAGACTTCTGCATCAGCAGGACAATATATGGCCATTTGCTGTGAATCATCAAGCCTGTTCCCAGCTTTGTGCTGTGACTTGTGTGACCTTGCAGAAATCACTCCTCCTTTCTCTGCCAGCCCGGCCCTCACACAGCTATTTCACCCTTCTGGCTGTTTGTGGCAGGGCCTTCTCTTGCTCGCTGCCCATAAATCATCTAGCTCCGCAGGGCTAACCCTTGGTTGGCTCTAGACCTCTTTTATGGGCTTCCAGGGAATACAAACAATAGCATCAAGGTACTGAACATCAGCACAGACACAATAGCAAAGAGATCTGCTTGAGAACAGAGATACCTCCTCAGCGAAGCCCTGCTTTGTGAGGTGTTAAATTAGATTAGGCTTTGGAGAATAATGAAGAAAATCCAAAGTATCAGGGGTCCTTTCCAGCACCTTACAGTGCCCTCCCCCTGCACAAAGGAGCTGGTCTTTGGATCATCCTGATACAAAATGCCCCCTCCTCTAACACAATTTCCAGCAACTCAGAGAGATCACACTGTTCATAAACCAGAAATATCACCAAAATACATCCTTAAAGAATAGCCTCCCCCCGCCCCCCAGCCCGTCACTTGCTCCCTTGGACAAAGCAGCAGCCGCTTCCTGGGAGTTTTGGCACAAGCTAGCCTTGCCCTGGCACTGCAGGACTTTGCTTACATTCATTAGTGCTCTATCGCATTTGCATAAGCAATGTCTCAACAAGCACAGCCCTTTATCACTGTGATTCATGGAAATGACACAGTGGATGGTTGTGCTAACTTCGCCTTGAAATTAGGATGATTTATTCATTAGGAGGGCTTGTTATGAAGTCATTGCCATTGCTGTTGTCTCTGCATACAATTAGGAACAAGGGTGCTATGAGAGAGGTACAGGGTGGGATGAAAGTCTCCTGGGGGGCCTCCCTTGTCTGTACTCTTCAAAGTGTGCAAGTAGAGGGCAGGAGAAGAGCAAAGCCCAGCTCGGATACACTGACACAACTTCAGGGCACAGAGCAGATCATTATGAATTCCTGTGCCATCCGCTCTAATCGCATTAGTTGTGATGGATTCTGGTGGTGTCCGTGCTGTAATTTCCATTGCTGGTCGGCACTAGTCCACTTAACGTCCACTTTCTGTGGAGTGTTTCCAAGCAATTAGTATTCCCCTCTTTTATGCGAGGGGTCATGGGTTACAGTGTGCTACTGAGGAGGACGGGCTGGAAGGAGAGGGAGGGGGACCAGCACCTCCCTCTGCAGGGAAAGAGGATAAACCACAGCTCTGCTCGCTACAGAGAGACTGTGCTGCCTTCCCACCTGCTGAGCCCTGCAGGGAGACCTGTAGGATCACACCTTTCCTTTCTGAGATGAAATCCTAGCTCCATCTTCTCATTTCTCTTCAAGACTACTGTGGGAAAAAGATCTCACAGCACCACACTGCAAGGGGCTTATTCACATGCCTGTAGCCAAAATGCCCCCTTGCTTCTCTGAATTCATATTGTGCCTTCAGTAACACACCTGTCCTAGATGATGTTTGCAAGCTTATCACTTACTCACTCCTAGGAGCCATGCGGTGATGCACACACTTGTATTTATACCCCAAAGATGTTAGAAAAACATGCCACAATCTGCACCTCCAACTCCCAGAGGGGTGATCAGGCACCCACTGCATCCTCAGCAATGCCTGAAAACACCAAGCTGTTACCCAAGTCACGAAATAATGAGCAAGCCCACATGTTGCAGGCTTATCCTTACTTTTGGAGCTTGAGCTGCTGCCACGTCTGTTCCCCAGATGCTGCAGGGTGCTGGGGAGAGGACAGGCTCCCTGGAGACAGCCAAGGTGTGTCACAGGGAGGTGAAGAGAGGGATATTTGGTGCTGCTTCTCAGTGGAAACTGCCCTGAGAAAAGGTCAGGAATGTCAATTAAACTGAAAAAGAAAAGAGCAGGAGAATTCTGCACACTTTCTCTGATCACTGCCTTCACGTTTCTTTCCTTGAGGCCCTGGCCCACAATCATGGTGCCACGGGCATCCATCAGCATCCCCAAGCATCACCAACACTGCCACACTGAGCAAGGCTCCCACCCCCATCCACTTAAAGGACAGAAATCTCTGTTTTCAGGGATGGGGCTGGCACAGAGGGAGGGATGGCAGGGTACAGGCCAGCTTTCAGACAGCTCTTCTGCCCCCAGGAGCTTCCTATGAGCATCACCAAGTTGTCTGCGTGCTGCTGGCAGGGGTTGGTGCCCAAGCCAGAAAGGAGGATGGTGCAGTTCTCCAAGCAGTCTCACGTAGCTGGGGCTGCACGAGAAGTGTCACATAACCGTGCTGCAGGACACCTTATCCAAAACATCGACTACTGCCTCTGCAGGGGAGCCCCTTCCTGGCTTCTTCTGGACCCATGGAAGAGCATTATTCCACCAACTTCTGATAGCGCTTTGGGAACCGAAAGGAACAGCTTGCCAGGAATATTTTAAAACAAAAAAATATGGAGCAGTTAAACCTAGATGCTCTTTGCATCCTCTCATTCAGTAATAAATTGTATTGCTCTTCCAAATGCTCAGTCTGGACAAAGCGTGAGTGGTGCCATCTAAACGCAGCCTGACCTCCTAGTGTATCCAAACAGATTTATTTCTCTCCCGAGGTATGCTTACGAGAAAGTGACTTACGCAAGAGGAAATCAATAGAGCTCATCAAAACTGGAGCACTGGGTGGGGGAAATCCAAATATTTTGAACTTAATTGGTTGGCGCTTGTTTTTTAAAATTGATGTTCCAGATTAGCACTTCAAAATTTCCTCTGATTTCCTCCGATAATTTCCCACATATTAGGAAGACTTGGGACCACTGAAAAGTTTTTGCTTGGAAGGTGTTTCAATAGCAGTATAAATACACGATGTCTGTATCATGCAGCACAGCTTCCACCCTTACGGAAATAGCAGCAGAACACCGACCTGCTTCACCTCGACTTTTCCCGACTGGAAGCTCCATTTCCATCTTTCCCATGAAATATTCTGGGTTTGATATTAAAGTGGCACACTGTAACAGAAAAGCATCGAGCAGTTCTTGAGAACAAAGGCTCATGTGACCCCCTCCTTCCTCAGCAGCTCTCCCCGGGGGTACTTTTACACCCACGACCATCTCTGCAGCCCCCAGAGCCGCATCGGCAGCCTGCAAGGCCGATCACTGGGCAGGGATCTTGGGAGTACCACAGAGCAGATCCATAAAAAGCTCTCTGGCAATCCAACAGATCAGAGTAAAACATTTCTTTCAGAGGAGAGCTTTACAGGATGCTTAAAAATATTTTGTGCTCGACTCAGTGTGCTAATTGGCAGGGCTTCAGCTGCTGGCCCGGCTCTGGCAGCAGCTCCAGGGCAGAGCAGTGAGTGGCTCTCCCCGCGCTTGCAAAAACCCCGAGTGCAAACCATTTCCATACTCTCTCCTCTCTCTTTGGCAGGACAGTCTGCTTCTTTTTCGCTCACGTGAATCCTTCTGGCGCTGACAGGCGAGGCACACTGCCTCCTTGAGCCATGAAGCTTTCTCACAGACAGGGCCAGGGAGCTCAGCCTGCCCGAAAGCAGCTCCGGGAAGCTCAGCTCGGCTCCTGCTGGGCTGCAGCTGCTCCAGCAAGTGCTGGCCTCATGCTCCGTGCTCAAGGCTCGCAGTGAAGACAGACTGCATGTACCACGCACGTCGCAGGAGATCCATCACGTGGCCACATGGTGGAGTTTCCTTGGGAACCCATCTTCCACCTGTGGGGAAACCCTCACAGCTCTCCCTTCATTAATTTCTATTTTTTCCCTGACCTCTCTGGCAAAGCACAGCGTATTTCCTGGGCAGCTCACAGAGCCAGTGAAGGGAGCTGATTCTTGTACGCATACTCGAGCCTTGTCCAGCCACATCTCCCTGTAAAGAGCTCCTTGCCCAGCAAACCCTTCTGCAACTCCCTTTGCAAACTGCAGTACAATTACATTTTTCCCCCCGGTGAACTCTGCTCCTGTTTAATGCCACTACGTGTTGTAACAGAAATAAGCAATGTTTCTAGGCATCTGTCAGACCATGTTGCCAGCAGGTACCGCAAATATTTTAGACATAAAGCAGCAATACAAGGAACAAGGTTACCTAAAATTGCCATTAAACCATATGGAAGCAAACACAGTCAAAATTGCTTTGCAAGCCACAGAGCGTCAAACTAATCAATGTCACTTGAATGCGACTGAACTGTAGGAGGCCCTTTGTCATATTTAGTTTGTATCCAGGATTATATTGGAAATTGATCCTATTTCTTCAAGCAAACAGGCTTTATTTGTTTTAATTACTTTTTTTATATATCCTTCCCCTAATCTGAGAGATGAAAATACAGATAAAAAAGATGGGCTTTTCTCAAAGGTACTGCAAAATTCCTCCAGTAATCCCCATTAGAGAGAAAAAACCCAGACCAAGAGCTCAGGCATTTTGACTGGAGAATTCAGGAGTTAGGGACAGTTTGAATATTTCTATATCTAGAGATTCTGGACAATGAGGCACCACACAACAAAATTATTTTTCTGGCAGATGATGAGGCAGCTTGATGGTGAGACCTTAGGAAGCCTACTATAGCCATGAGACTCCACTCCAAAACTTGCTTAAGAGAGAAATACCAGGCTTTAAACCCAAATTTCAGTGAAGTTACCATGTGCCTGGATGGGCTAGGTTGTGTGAAGTGATGCAAACTTGTGGGAAATTGGTGTTTGTTTTTTTTTTCCCCCCTTTCCTTCTCCATTGTTTACTAAGAGCCAAAAAAAAAAAAAAAAAAAAAAAAAAAGACACACCGTGCTCTAATGTACAAGGAGGCTTAGGACCAGAGCTAGGACAAGAATAGCAGCTCACACCCTAGGGGTGGAAAACCCTAATGGGATATTTGCCACAGTGCCTCTGGAAGGTTTGTTTCTCCCCCTTTTCTTCCATTCTATACCCTACACAGACAGCACAGCAAGGTCAGTGCCTTGAGGCCAAACAGGGACGTGGCCATCAGGGCTGTGGCAGCAGCAGCTCCAGGACATCCTGCTCCCATCAGCGAGCCCTGGTGAGTTGAGAAAGTGGTGCCGGGGGAAGCACCTTATTGTGTCTTCATGGCAGCCCTCTAATCTATAGGTGCTGTCAGAAGAAATGAAATAAACCTGCTTCCTACAGATTGGCCTGTCTCTCTTTACTGCATCTCCAGTGATAGATGAGTGCCACTCATGATCTTTGAGAAGCAGCTGTAACTTTCAGAGGTCTAACTAAAGCCAGGAGCTGTAATTGCTGCGTTGCTTCATTGACAGGGCAACCAAGAAGCAATAATCATTACCCCCTGCAAAGGTTAACTCCTTTGTATCTCCATAGAAGGATGAGAGAGAGGCAGGAACAGAGCCGTTCCTGGGTGTAATTTCAGTGGATAAACCCTGCAGCAAGGCTGATGCCTTCAGATTTCGGAAGAGCAGACAGATGCCCCCCTCCTGGATGCCTCACCCCATGGGTGATGCCTCTCCAAGGACACAGAACCTGCTGCTGCCCCTCCAGCTGGCTTCCTGGCATCTCCCTGCCTCCTGCTGATGGGCTGCTGAGGAAAGGGAAGGAGCAGGTCTGGTCTCGCAGATCAGAGCAGCTGTAAAGCAGGAAAAAAATGGACCTTGGAGCCAGCAGGGCTTGCAAGGCGTGCCCGTAGGCCTGGCTAAAAGTTCCAAGGGGTGGAAAATAGATGGAAGTTGGGGAAGAAAGAAAAGCAGGAAGCAGCAGATCGATCTTCGTCCTCCCCTTTGCCCATCCCTACTAGGCACCACTGGTGCATGCTGTACATCAGAGCAAAGCAGGGGTTGGGCACGGCTGCAGAGCCAGGATTCAGAGCAGAGCTATTGCAGGGGGAAGGAGTTGTTGCTGAACTTGCTCGGCCCTCACTTGCTGCCTGGAAAGATGTTGTTCTCCCTTGTATGTTGTTCTGTGCAAAATGCTGCCGATTCTGTAGCATGTCAGAGTGACTCGGTGCTGGAAGAAACCCCAGTGCAAACCCACAGCCTTCTGCAAAGCTGGTTGTGTCTGACAGATGGGGGCTGTAAGGGGGTGTCTGCGTATGTGTGGGCTGTGTGTAGGGGAGAGGCAAACAGCTTTTGAAAAATGGTGATATTAAGGCTAAAAACAGTTCAGCAGCAGCTATTGATCCTGAGGAAAGCTTGTTAGAAAGAGCCACCAAACTGCAGGGATCCAAACTGCCCTGCATGCATGGAGCTGGAGGGTCAGGTCTGGGATTAGAGGTAGGCTGCATCACTCCTTTCTTACCAAGACCTGGGAGAGAAATCGTAAGCTTGGTTAGAGGAATGAATTAGCCACGTGGCACTGGGGATGAAGCAAGGTGGGGTATTCAGACCCCTGGGCAAGAAGAGCTCTTCTTTTTACTGTGCTCCGAGTTTAAAGGTTCTTAATGGGACTGTAACAAAGAACATTCAAGTCTTCTATGTACATGCAAATAACATCTCCACACTGTCTTTCTGGTGGAAAACATATCTTGTTTGAAAAGTAATAACCATAAAGCCAAAATCCTCATTGTTTTGTGACCAAGAATGACTTCTTCACAGGTTCTTCAACACTATTCTTCAGGAAATCATATATTTGGATGCCCAAACTAGAACAGGCAGGGGCTGAGACCAGACAACTAATGAAAAAAGTATTTATTTTGTTTCAAAAAATCATTTGGATCAGGTCTCTGAATGGATGTGTACTGTTCCTATAGCAACACATAGCAAAACAGAGAGGAAGCAAAGCAAAAGTAATTGAAATTCTGGCTTTGGCATCAAAGAAACTATCAAGATAAAAGCTATACCAAAAAATAGGGACAGAGAAAAATGGGGCAGAAAACTGGAAGAATAAGAAAACACCAACCTTTCCTTTTCTCTCAAACTTGTAGCCTTTTGGTTGGTAGAAGCACCAGGGCTAGGTGGCAATCAGAGTTTAGACATTTTCTGTATTTCCTACCACAACAAATAAATCAGGGCCTTTTGTTCTGCAGGTGTAAACCCTCCCTGGATGTCATCAAGAAGGAGCTGAAGGGAGCAGGAATATTTCCTAGCTTTCAGCTCAGTCTTTCAGTGCCTCAACACTGCAGTTGCTGTTTCCAAGTTGCCTGACATATCTCAGAGCACATCCTGAAGCCCAGGGACACACAGAATTTATGTCCCCACATGGGTGAATGCACAAGGTGCAGAAGCCAGCTAGCTCCAAATAACCCCTCTCACCTGTGCCCTGCATCTTGTGCCATCATTTACTGCAGCATAAGGCACAGCTTGTGACACCTTTGGCATTTCTATTGTTATTTTTATTAATGACTTGCACTACATCAATGTCTGTCGGTCCTGACTGACATAAAAGCAATAAAGTTAGCCTCAGCTCTAGACTGATCTCATAACTTGACAGCAACACAACCTCATGACTGATCTAGAATAAGTAATGTTCAGATGCCAGAGACGTGACCCAAACGCCTTCATTAGGAGCACAGTTGCTTAAGTTTCCCTCTCCTGTCAATGGAGATAAAGACAAAAAAATGCCTCCAGAGAAAAATCTCTCTGCACTGATTTGCAAGTCTAGAGCGAACTCAGTTCTATGCCTAAGTTAAGGAAAAAAACCTTTCACAGAAATCCAAGAATTATAGCAGGCAGAGTCACTAGAACTTTTTTATAAACACATCTCTTCGTTATGGTGCATGAAGGGAAGCTTTTTTCTTTCTGCTCAGGGCACATGTGTTCAATTGCCTCAAATTTCTTTTGAAGTGATTTAATTGCTTGTTTCTTTTCAAAATTCAACAAAGCATTTGGGAAAACAAAACTTCCACACCTAATCTTCATTTAAACAGACACCCTGCCTTGCTTCTACTGCACAGAAGGAATTATTCTATTCAAAAACATTTGTGCATTCAACTTGGCTAAAACCAAACCAAGTTGCCAGTACAAAATGTGCACTATTTAATTTGGTTAAACCATCTTGAAACTGCATTATGAGTCATGGAATGATATTGAGCTCCTGGAATTACATCTTAACATTACTGAACCAATAACCATAGAACAGAGGCAAGACCATGTTTACCTCTAAGACTACCTCCATTGAGGTATGGGGTCTGATATCAGTTGCCTTGGTAAAAACTTCTATGCCATCTTTCATGTCTGCTTCTGGGGAACTTAGTTTCTTCTAGGCAATTCTGTGCTGCCACTGGCTGCATTCAATTGCAGCAGGCTGAGGGTGTTGGTTTCTGAGCAGGGGAATGGCCACAGGGCAGACAACCTCTTTTCTATAGCTTCAAAAGTCTTGAGAGAACGAGGCCAGGCCACCACTTGCAGACAAAAGCTACTTTGCCAACTCCATCTAGGTTAGAAAGAAACACTGATCCCTGGTTTTGCCTTGGGAACTGAGGAAATCTAATATCTCTCCTTCAAGAAGAGACAGACAGGTGTCAGGAGAGGTGACCATAGTGCCAGAGCAATCAATGATGTGATGGCTGCCCAGTAAGGCTGGAAGATGGAGTACTGGGTAAGCTGGGGTGCTTCATCCTTTTTGTGTAGAGCTGCAAGAGCCTCCCAGATATTCTCAGCAAGAAAAAAAAAATATCAAATTTTAAGTCTTTCCTTGAGCCTTTTGTGCATTAAAAGGGCAAGGAAAGATGCCTGCAATCCCTTGAGCATTTCTAGAGCAGAGAGTCTCAGTGTTTTATACAGCAAATGCAAAACAAAAAGAAATCAATAAAGCAGAAACCCTCAATCCAGTGACACAGGGCTATATATAAATCATTCTGGCCTTGGACTTCCAGCTCCGGGAAACTGAAGATTTCTCAACTGCCCCGGACACCAGAGAACTGGTTCTGTTCCACCCGTGTTAAAGGAGCATTAAGCTTTTTGGCTTTGAATTCCTGATCCAGACCCTCACTCACATAGATCAGGGAAGCTCCATTGATTGTTGACTACACAGAGCTGATTTACACCCTTGAGCACAAGGCCTTTTTTTTTTTTTTTTGCTATGACCAGAAGCTGCTTTGCCTGCTGTTTCCCTGCTGACAGCCAGTGACACCCAAGTGATCCTGATGCAGCTGGCGTGGTGGCTACCACCTCTGCCAGCCCTTCCCGCAACACCTTCCCCTCCTGTTCAGACCCCCAAGGGTAGCTTGCATCACTAGGAGCACTACGTAGGCTATAATTTAAAATCTATTAACTCTGAACATCAGTACACCACATAAACTTAACTGGCCCTTGCAATGCTGCAGTTAGTTCCTGTCCCTAGTTATTCCTATAAATCACCCCAGATAGGCTAGGGCCCGATCAATGGGAAAAAATTATACCATAACATTAGATTTCATCATACACGACTTGAACTATTACTTTTCTGTCTCGTGGTATGAAGAATCATGAAAATTAATAGTCTCTCTGTGCCCAAACGAAGTGTTTATGGGGCAGAGCATTACCTCTCCTGTACTTCTTGCTTAAAACCATCCATTAATTTCGTTGCACTTACACCCAGTCAATCGTTTTTTTTTTAAGAATTGCTATTGTACCAAAAACACCGAAATCTAATGGGATTTTTTTTGTTGTTTTACAGTTTCCTTCTCCAGAAACCCTTCACATCAAAGTGTTATGCCCCACAAAGCTTCTCAGGACTCAGCTCTGGCCATTGCTCAGAAAACAGGCTGTTCTGCTGGCAGCACGGACCGAGCACCTCCAGGCTGCTCTCAGGAGCAACCAGATCAAAGTCTCAACAGATTTCTCCACAGGGATGCAGGAAATTTGCCACCCACCGTTGCCTCCAAGGACAGCGTCTGTCTAGGGTGATTGTTAATCCTAGCCTGGAGAAACCTTGCAAACTGAAAGACATAGCACCTCTAAGGCTATCACACTTCTTCAAAACACTAAAAGGCAAGGAAAATTAGGTATAGCCAGAAGATTACAGACTTCTCCCTAGTGCATGTGTGTCTTCAATTGCCGTTCTTTGGGTCTGCAGCCTGCCCAGACTTTCCAAGGGCAATAAACCATAAAGATCTAGCCAGATGATCTAGCAGCTCCATGCTGCAGAGCTGTCAGTTTAACATGACAATGTGGACCATCCAGAGAATAGGGGGTGCTGGGCTCATAAATGTGACTGAGCTCAAGTGGATCTTACTAAACATCTAATTCCCTCAGCTGTGGTGATAAAACAAGTTAAGGACTCAAGCTGTGATTTTATATTGCAAATATTTGCGTGTCGTAAAATGCCTTTGACAAAGTGTGCCAAGTAACCGGGTATTGGAAGCCTTGTAAAAGCAGCCAGATGTCGTGTGTTTTGTTCTGGGGTCTCCCTGCTCTAGTGCTGCTTGGCATACTTAAAGTTAACCAACCTGTGCAATTGCCTGGGCGAAGCGTTTTATGCAGCTGCAACGAGCAGGCGCTATTTCACCTCCGAGGATTTTTTTAGTATGTTGTTTAAAAACTGAATCCACGTGAGCGTGGCCAGGGTGTGGGGAGATAAGAGGAGGAAGGGCTGCAGACAGAAGGCAGCAAGCTGCCTGCATGTGGACAGAGCCCCACCGTGCACCCCAGGACCACCTCCTGCACCTCCCTGAGCACCAGCAAAGCCAAGGGGTGGATGCAGCCCCTTGATCCTCGCTGCAGGCTTCACAGCTGCCCCTGCTAGGGATGAAAGGTACCTCTCGTACCACCTGCTGCTCCTGCAGTAATGAACCAGGAGGCAGGGATGTCTGGGTGAGAGCACTGTGGCACTTCTGTGAGGCAGATTGCTCCCAGTAGGACGGGAGCTGGTGTGATTCCCTCGGTGTTTCATTAGACAGAAGTGTCATTTTCTGTTAATCTGCAGCCTTGAAAGTTATTGATGCACGTGAGCCAAGGAAGACGAATGTTCAGCTGGTTAAAACTACGCTCCTAGATCTGGGTCCAGCCTTACCATGGGCTGAGGTGCAGGTCACAGACCCCTGAAACTCCTTGACCTTGGCATTTTGTAAACAAAACCACACACTTACCTGCTTTCGGTTACAAAATCTCTGCCTTCATCTCCCTGGTTCCCAGCTGCCAAATGTTCCTTTACATCTTGAAAGTTCCGGAGATTAATGTGTTCACATAAATGGCGTAGTCTGTGCTGGGAGGTGGAGAGGAAAATGTCTTTATTAGTAGAGGGTATCTGGCCAGTTATGGGCAGAAGAAACTGTTCTAATTAAGTTAAGTCCAGGCTAGGGAGGAGCAGGTAAGGCAGACTCATTTTCCATTTCCTTAAAGTGGCCGAAATTGGAAGTTTCACATTTTAATGCATTCCATAAGAATATATATACACACACACACACACACACATATATATTTTTAATAAAGTGTGTAAGTCTAGACTCATTTTTTTTCAAATGATTTTGGTATTGAAAAAGTGAAATTCATTTTTAACACCCCCCCCCAGCTGCTGTGAAAACATCACAACAGGATGTTTTGACATTAAGGCACTTTACTTCAATTATGTACATGTGAAATATAAACGTTGTCAGAATTGACATATTCCTAAAACACATCAATTTCACAGACAGAAGCTTTTGTTACCATACGCAGTAAGAAAAAAATATATATATACCCCAGCCCCTTCACTCAGCTCCTGTCTGAGAGAGCATCCAAGGCCGCAGCAGCAGGTGCTGTGCCACCCAAACCGCTGCAGGAGGGAGCCCCCAGCCCACTCATCAGCATCAATGCACACATCAGCCCTGCCTGAAGCACCTCTACCAGCTGTCTTCAGCAACAGACCTCCAATGCAGGCTTCTTTGCCAGGGAAGTTGTGACAACCAGCTTGAGAGAGGCCAGGGAAGGCAAATTCCTGAACATCTCCGAAGAGCACGTGCGCCTGCTGGTGAGCTGGAGCAGCCCCGCGCCATTAAGCAGCCCCCTGCTGCTGCTCAAACCCAATCAATCTGCAGCTAATGACAACCCCAAAGCACAACACTGAAAAAATCAATTGAGAGATACGTGACAAAATGGAAAATGCTGTAGTGCACTCAGCGCATTGCCTTGGGGAGAGGACTGCCCCAGCTCTGGAATCCGGGTCCCGGGGAGCAGAGAGAAGCGTGTCTCTGCTCCTGTTTCCACCCTGCAGGATCTCACCTGGATGGCCGACTCCTAACCTAGTACAGGTGCACAGGCAATACCAGGATGAAGGGCACAGCTAGGAGAGCACCACGCACCATGCCCAGCCCAAGCCCTGCAGTGCTGCTACCCTGCACAAGTAGCTGCTCTGCCAGCAACCTTCTCTTGCTGCATGCTTGTTCTGGCCAGTGGTGCTACTGGCAAATTCCTCAAATAAGAAGCAATGCAGAGTCTGCCTTGCTGCACCTAAATGCCTGTTTTTTATTTCTTTTCTCCCAGATAGCTGCCCAGAGCAGCTCAATACCTGTCTACTACATGTGTGGACTGTATGTATGGGTACACAAGGAGCTGTTTCACATCATACAAGACAATCCTTTCAGCTGTTCACAAAACATTTGATTTCCAAACAGGAGAAAATGGAAAAGGAATGATAGTTCTATAAATATCAATGACAGCATTTCCTGAGATCGCTTGCAGAACAGAAATCGCATATGAGGAATATTAGTGTGAGCTCAGCACCTTTGAATGTAGCTGCTTAATTTGTGGATTGGGGCAGGCTCAATCTGGAACATGAGCAGCATGAGCTCATGTCTGCTTGCTAAACAGCGTGTGAATGTCCTTGGTATATTTAGATACTCAGCGTAGTTTGAGAACTTTGACCTGAAATAGCTCCTAATCCAACGCTGACTCCCAGTGCATTTTTATTGTGGCTTCTAGTTATTACTGCAAAAATGCAACAACGAAGCCAAATGCATGCTGGTGCCCAAAGCTGGACCAAGGCATGGTCTGTGCCTTGCAGCCCTCCTGCACAGAGCTCCCTGTGTGTCTGCTGGGGAGCTTGGTGCTGTAAATCCTGTGCTGCAAAGGGGCAGAGCTGACATTGGGACTTTGGGCTAAACCCTGATATGACTTTCTACTTCATCTCCTCGCTTTCCCCCACCCACTCCTTCCTACTCCTTATGTCACATTTGTTTTACATTTACTTGTTGCAAAACCTGAAATTTCTGTAAATGTAATAACAATTTTCCCTCTAGAATACTGAGTTTCTCTTGGCAAATGTCTCTGATCCTAGATTCAAAAAATGTATTTTCTTGACCTCTGAATGGGGAAAAGGGAGCAGCTGTAATGCAGATGAAATGTGTCCTACATGATCTGGGCTTCTCTTCCAAATCCTGGAAGCTAGAAACAAATTCTCTTCTCTTTATTTTTTTTCTTTCCTTTTTTTTTTTTTTTTTTTTTTATTAGAAGGAGTTGAAATCTAGAATAATCACAAGGGACTCCAGGAATCAGGTGTCTACCAGGCCTGTCATGCCTAACACTTGCTGTCACCTGTCACTGCTCCCTTCAGACTTCCCAACGCTTGCTGTCACTCCAGCAGAGCAGAAAGCTATGGCAGGGGTCTTTCCGCCACCTTCTTGCTGTGAGTTTTGGCCGTACCCTGGTTACCCTGGGGGCTAGCAAGGAGGATGCAAAACCATCAATTATCTCATTTCAACAGGAGCTGAAAGCAACAGACGTAGTATGTATAGTGCAGAAGAACAGGATTATTGCCACACAGGGAATTCACTCTCATCTAAGCATTACTGCAGCTACAGCCCCTTCTAGAACGATGCCCTGACCAGGGGGCACAGCTCCTGGGCTGCAGCCCCTGAGAAATCCTGCTCAAACACCACATGAGGACTGCACTGGACATCTCTCATTCAAGCAATTCTAACGCTCCCATGCAGAGACACAAGGGCCCTGCCCAAGCGGAGAAGGCAGCAACCACGTAAAACTGAACAAGGCTCCCACCCGAATGGTTATAACCTTGCCTAAGACATGAGGATAGGAGACAGTGAACTGAAACTCCTCCATAACTTATACGAGATCTGTTAGCCTAAACTGCCAGCTACTTTCTAAAGTGATGGGCTAGTTTAAAGTTACTGCTTCAGAACCATGGCTTTCAAGCAGTATTAACTTGTTTTCCTTGTGCCCTTGTAAATAAAGCAGCTGAAGAGAAACTCCTGAGAACATTTTGCAATAGGCCATTGACTCCCGAGGACAGACAGGAGCTCTCAGGTTAGAACAGGAGCATTACCTCCTCCTCAAGCATAAATCCCCAAGAAACTGTGTGCCCAACAGCCTGAAAGACAAGGGCAAGGTGGGATTCAAGCATCAGGATGAACAAAGGGAGTAACTTGCTGCATCCTGGGCTGGATTCACTAGGAAGCCTTTTTGTGGCTGATAAAACTCAGCCCTTGAGCAGAATTACAGTGACAGGAGCCTGATGACTCACTCTTTAAAATACTAAGCTATGTAAATTCACTAAACATCCTGGGGTTTCATGACCCATAATAGTACTGTCATTCTTTGACAGCCTAACATACAGCAAGGATATTATATCCTAAGTTTGCTTCATTACACTGTATAATATAAAGAAGAACAAAAGACTTCAGTAGACAATATAAATATTTGGGATTGCTTTAGTGTGCTGCACATATTTTTAGTGTCTCACTCATTTATTTTTTCCTGCAACTGAGTAGACTCAGATTCCTGCCCCTTCAGTCCTGCTCAGGTTGCCAGCTGGAGAGAAGCACCATTGCTGCACAGGTCAGATGAACGTGTACCTGGTGGATCAGAGGGTGGGTGTTCACCAGGCACCAAGTGGCTTGCGTGGGCACCAAATCACAGGAGGGGCCTCTGGGGATCATCTGGTCCAAACCCTGCTCAGGCAAAGGCAGCTAGAGTAGCTTGGCCAGAATCATGCCCAGGCAGTTTCTAAGTAACTCCAAGGATGGATAAGGCACAATCATTTTTTACTGTTCAGTCAGAATTCACTGAATTTCTGCTCATGCCCCTTGCCTCTCATCCTGAAGCCAAGAAGAACATGAGCCCATCTTTGCACCCTGCATGAGATTTGCTTTCCTCCCTGTCCTCCCTCAGACTCTTTGAAAATGCACGCACTGTGCGCTGATGTTGGGGCATCCTGTGCTGGCCAGTCCTGTCACTCATCTGTGCACACAATAGGAATCACCACAATAATTAACCTGCAGTCCATTGCTGTAGACTTTCGTGGGGCTGCATGGCAGCTGAAAGCCTGGATGTGCTGGACTTTCCTTAATGCCTGTATTTGTTCTACCTTTGTGGTATTAACCCAGCCCGAGTGTTGAGTGCTGTATTTACTGTGACACTGGTATTCAACACGTGGATAAAAAACACAGCCATAATTTACACTCTCATTACCCCTTTGATGCATGCAACAGCCACAAAGCTGTTGAGACATATGAGTACATGCATACAGATACAGGTGGATGGAAGCCAGAGTTCCCCATTCCAAGGCAATTCTGAAAAGTTAAAATACCCGTTCCATCTGGAAATGAAAACTTGCTATTTGAGGAATTTCCTGTTGAACTTCAGCTTTTCACTCACAGAAATCAATGTGACATCTTGGCTTTGCTTTCTTTTGTTTTTACTTTAAAAAAAAAAAATTGCACTGATGAGGCACAGGTTTGGTTTCAGAGCTACTAAAAAAACCTTCTTGGCCACAGATAAACTCAGAGCACTGGTATTACTTGGGGCTTGAATTCCTGGAGTTTCCAGGCTCCTATCTCTGCCTGAGCTGTGGATTACTCACAGGAAACAAGATTATCTTTCTTTCCAGCCCTGCTTCATTTTTATCATTTAATCAAAGTGAAACAATCCCCTCAAAATAGTTAAACAGGGGAAGTTCTGATGGAACAAGCCTTGGTAAGAAGTGTCCTGATGGGCTGAACGCACCTCCCAGCAAAGCTGCTCAGAAGGGGAGTGAACCATAGCTTCAAGGAGAGGACCCTTGGTCAAAGTCAGCTGAATTCCCCAAGGACAACCCAGACAAGGAGTTAGAAGCCAAGGTGAGATGAGAGCCCCCAAATCCCTGCTCATTTCACTAATGGACTTGCTGTCTCCCTTTTGTACAGAGAAAACAGGCGGCTGTGCTGCTTTTTGTCAGGCACACAGCATTTGCCATGGAGACAGTAGGAAATTGAAAGCTTGTTAGACATTTCTCAGAATAGTTTAAAGTAATCATTGATTTACATATGGCTTTAAATGTTAATAGAAGTTGGACATTTTGGGGGTATTTTTCCTCTCGTGCCTTTCTTGTTGTTCCCCACCCTCATGGCTGCCTTTAACTGTACATCTCCCATCGTTCAAAGCTGTTTTAAAACAGTTCTTTAAAGTTCAGCATAAACGGTTTAAAAATAAAACCCTGCTGTATGTGCATCTAAATCATAATCCCACTCCTTCAGATGCCTGAAGGATGCCTTTCCCTCCACATAGATACTGTTGCTGAAAGGTCTGGAAAGCTGTGATTTCTGCTCCAGCAGCCGCTGTACTTGCCATAGAGATCAGGAAAACATCCATGTAAAGGGCTAATTATCTTGCCACTGTTTGAGGAAACCTGCTCCTCAGATGGAAACACATCTGCCTCAAAATAAAAGATGGTTTTGTGGGAAAGTCACTGGGAGAGGACTCAGAGACCCGGGTTCAGTTGCTGGCCACAACATTTCTGCACAATTTGGAAGCAGTCACTTCATTTCTCCAGTGCTCTTTTTAATCAGTAAATTTAGGCTATGAATCCAACTTCTCTCAGCCCTTTCTTTGTCCCCTCTGCCTTACATAGAAGGCCATTTCTAAGGACAGAGATTTTAGGTTGGCTAATTTTAGAAAATGGATGGGCACCACATCTAGAGGGCAAAGAAGGAAACCCAGGGAAAATTGGCTGCTGTGACAAAGGGTGGGGTAGGGCCTTGGGACCGGAAAAATAAGAATTAAAAGAAGAGGGCAACTTGAGCAGAGATGAGCAGAACTCCAGGGCAGTGCAGAGGGAGCAGCACCAAGGTCTCCATGCAGCTCCATCAGACCTTGATGTGATCAAAGCTCTGTCCCAGCCACCTCCCAACAGCCCTGTGTTCAGCACTTACTTTCCCATGGGTGTTTGCTGACTCTCCTTCAACTCCTGGGAACAATTAACCTTTATGCAAATATAATTAGCTACAATTAGAAACAAGAAGCATTATAACAGAGGTGAAGCAGGGGCAGTGAAGGCAGAAGGCCGTTTCCCCCGGGGATTTGCTCCCTGTCGGGGGAAGGATCTGTTATCGAGGGATTGGTGGTGGTGGAAGGAAATAGCAAAGAAACCCTCAGAGCAATATAGAAAAAGACTTTTTTGAAGCTTTTGCTTGGTATCTTTGTGACTTACAGTGTGCCCGTGTAACAACCAGGCTAGTCCTTCAGATTTCAAAGGCAGGAGTGTGTTTGCTCATTTGCTCACTGCACTGCTCATTAATGACTTATGGTGGCAGAGAGAAGGAGCAAGCAGGTTTCCTGCAGCCAACCCGCTAACCTTGATTTTAATTAGCTTTGGCAAGATAACTAACAGAGCTGTGGAGTGCTGAGCAATCCGCAGCAGCGGTGCTGGATCAGGGGTAAAGCTGGGCTCAGCTGATGAGCCTTCAAGCGCATCTTTCACATGAGACTCCTCTCTTCCAGTGGGTAACACTGGGAACAGGCTGTTCAATAGCCTTCTGTGTCATTTGGGGAAGAACAGTATCGTATACCATGTCTCAGCATCTCTGGCTGAGCACTCCTCTCCTTATCTCTTCTGCCGTGGCCTTAATCAAGTATTTCCAGCACTTGCTGTTAGAATTTACATCACACTGCATTACACAAATCATACTGCCTGCTCTCACTTATAAATACTCAGTAAGGAATTAATATAGATGCTATAGACATGGCTTTACCATCCCCTTGTCTCTGTAGGTGCATTACCAGGAGTTTTTCCATACAGGTAGCAGGAGCCCTTTTACCTAGGAGGGAGAGGTGACTGTATATTGAGCACAACTTTGACATTCCAAAGCAATGTTTTGATCTGATTTGCACTAAGAAGAAAACATCTCTAAATGCTTTGCTCTCTCATCGGTAGTATACCCATCTACCGGGTTCTTAGTCTGCTAAGGGATGTGGCAGGTGAGCCAGGCCAACAACACAAAGCCATCCTCCCCATATGCCATGATTTTCTCAGATCACATTTCACCTATAAGAAGAGTCCTCTGGAGCATTCCCATTCCATGCTATGATGTATCGAACCACTTACTAGAAGATTAAAAAAAAACTTAAAATATCTTCAAACCACCTATTTACATTCCTTTACAAATTATATTTTAATACAAACTTGATTTCAGGGTATTTAGCCCAGATTTTCAAAGAAGCAGCAGAGAAGCTAACACAGAATATTAATGAGATCTGAGTCTTAAACACCGAGGAACCAATCCTGAGCTAGTAAAATCCTCTAAAGTTTCTTGTTTTGATGTAACATAACAAAAGCAAGACTTGTTTTTCATCAGAAGAGAGTAAAAAAATACCGACCCTAAGTAGGACCACTTGAATCTGATCTGAAGTTACTAAGAAGTGGATTGTTTTGGTGATAACAAAGTGATTCAGAGTGAACTTGCATGGAGGTCTGCAACAAAACTTGTTTTGGATGCCTTGCTGTTCTGAGATTAGAAATAAAATTTAGAATACAAGCAGAAACTGGAAAACAAAGGGCTTCAGCATAAAAGCTCATCTAATGTGATCTAAGCCTCAAGAACCCCAAAGGAAAGAAGAAGTATTACCCCTCACAAATCATCTGATACGTGGTGCTTAACCCATGCCCTGCTGCCTCCCCTGGGAGAGCTCCTCAGAGCCAAGCCAGAGCTGTGTAATTCAAGGATTTGTGTACTGGGAAGGGCTTGATCCAGAGAATACATCCAGCAGCAGGAGCTACAGCAGCTTTTGGAATTTTTCTGATATCTAACCAGAGACCTTGAGATAAATACAGTGAAGCATCCACATTGTTCCAGATGTAAAGGCAGGCAGAGGCTGGTTCTGAGCTGTTTCTATAGATGGCCCCATCAGCAGCCTGACATTCCCCTGGCAAGAGGAAAAGAGAGCAGAACAGTTTGGCTGCTTCTGGTCCCAGCTGCAACCAGAAATGTGTGCTGCCACAAACCTGCTCAGGCTCTGTAGGAAGCACCAACCCCCTGGCAATCCCTAGTGGAACAGGGCTGCTCCAATGTCCAGGGAGGATTTCTGTCTTCCCTCAAAAGGGCAACCATGAGCAGTGCAGTAATTCCACAAATCTTTCAGGACATCAGACACACAATTACTTTCTTCCAGAGGGGAAAACAAAACAAAAAAACCTGCATAAATCCTCTTGGATCAGCATCCTAATTTTCACAAATTATAGTCAGCTGGTTTCCAGTGCCTTCATCAAATGGGAGAACACTTGGCAGCCTACAGACCTGCTGCTGGGGTTTGTCTGGCAAAATGCTCTTGAGTTTCAAAATTGGTTTCTTTCTGCTTCCCTTGCCTTCCTGTCGATCGCTAGCTGCAGCAGCGCTCCTTCAGCCCCCAGCTAGAAGCAGCATTCGCACATGTGCAGGCAAGCTCTGCTCCAGGAGCCATGGCTTGGTCAGAGGAGCTCGCCTTCTGTGTGCTCTCCCGCCCTCACTCAAGCCTCTCAAAGACTAGTACTCCTCTTGAGCTCAGACACATCATCAATCCCCTTTCCGTTCATTGCTGAAAACTTTAATCCTTGAAGATGAGAGTCTTGCAGATTCATCTACAGAATTTTTCTTTATTTTATCTTCGGCTTTGCTGCATGAAAACTTAAGAGCAAAACTCTCTTAAGTGGGATGGTGCAAGCACCTACTGCACTGCTGGCACCTGCAAAATTACAAATATAGCTGCTCCAAAATGCTTGCAGAACAAGCTTCTTTCCATTTTGGCATAAAGTTCTCTTGTTTTTTTTTAAAAAAAGTGAAAGATACATTCCCCCCACACACACACTTTTTTTTTGTGAATATAAGTTCCAGGCTTTCATCAGCTCTAGACAACAGGAGATGCATGGCCCTCCTAATGTTCTTAAATGTCTTTGGCTGGTTGATAACAGACTTGCCCTCTGTTTATTACCTCCTCATTATGTGTGTTTGTACAGCACCTTGCACAACGAAGCCTTAATCCCCAGCTCATGCCCCCAGGTACCGATGCAATAATAAAAACAACAGGAAATGAATTTGCTGAGCTTATTTCAGAAAATAAGAGTTACTCAGTAAATACAAAGCTATAGACTCCAATCTGTTCTGAGATGATTTTCCTTGAAATTACACTTAATGTTCTCTGCAGCTGTTTTTTATTAAACACAGGAAGGTAAACCAAACCCCATTTATGTATGCAAATGCCAAAAAACAGTTTTTAAACAAATTACTAGAGAAGCCTTTTTGGCAATGTACAAAGTAACCAGTGGGCTATGCATCTGGTGCGTAGATTATTGGTTTGGTTAGAACAGAGCATGAGTAATGTTTTAATTTCCATATCATCATCCAGAGAAAGAAATATATTTAAAGTTGTATTTGACAATGCAGGTCCACTCATGTAACTGGCTTTCTGAATTTTAACCCTCTCTAGACATTTCATTCTTTTATTGCTTTGAACTTCTAAGTAACAAGATATTGCAAAGTAAATAAATTCAATTATGCTCCTCAATGAAATAAAAATAACTTGTACCTCTGATAAGTTTTTTCACATGTCTAGTGCTTCTTAAATCACATCTCAAAGCCCCTTATAAATCAAAAGCAAGATCTGGATTACACGCACCAATGGGGCTCTGTTATCCGGATATCTCTGCCGTTTAGTCAGGTGGAAACAACTCCGTGCCTATGAAAATTCTGCAGAGACTTAAACCCATTTGATATCATCTCAGCTTATTCAAACAAACTCAAGGTAAATTAGCATCAAACACAATTTCAAACAACGTCAAATGCTGTCAGGCAGATACTCTACAAACCTTGTCACCCATTGGAAAACTTCCTTGCTCTGCACCTCCCCAGCAGCACCCTGCTAGAGGCAGCAACCTCAGGGCTGCGGTGAGGCTGTTTATGTAGCCTTGCCTGTGCTGCTACAGGTAACTTCAGCTGATGTGGCTTCAGCTGATTAAACTGAGGTCACCTGAGCTCAACTGCTGATTTCTTCTGAAGCAGATAGGGGTGCTGGCACAGATGGCTTTGTCTGAAGACATGAGGGGCTTAGCCTCTGACACGGCTGGTGCTGGTCACATACAGAGGCAATGTGCTCATGGGGTCTCTCTGGAGGGGTCTGACTGTTGCCTTGCTTTGCAAAATATAAGCCAAGTTTAAGCTAATGTCAATGCTGTCCACAAGTTAAGCTCACTTGATATTTTCTGTTTAATTGAAAGAGTGTGGCTGCCACACAATGGCAAATTCCCACAGCATCCTGGGAGGTGGATTCAGGGGATGAAACTCTCTTTGGGACAGGGAGACAGTACACAAATGTATGGGAGAGCTTAAACGGGTGCCCAGGTTTGTGGTAGCTGCTTGCCAGAAGTGAGCTGCACCAAGAATTGTGACATTTTCTTAGCAGATGTAAACAGGGAGAGCACCTTGTCTGGGACACCTTCATCCATCAGGGAAAAAGCGCAGCCAGCACCCCCTCAGCCTCCCTCATCCCACCACACATTCCTCCTGGCCATGTTTCCGCTGACTTAGCTGAAAAAATCATTGCTGATCAATGCATCACCTTTGACTCTGTGGCAATTTTATCCAAAAGAAACAAAAAACTACCTGTTGATCCCCAAAGTGACAAAATTATCCAGGCCTTAACAGCAAGCATGGGATAATAAAAAAAAGATTACGTCAAAGTCCTTAAGGGATCGTGCTGAAGATTATTTTTCTGAACCAATTAGGCGTATGAATTAATTTCCTGAGTGGATAATGTTTTGTTAGGAAACAGTTTTTGTAGAGACTCTAGTGTTTGCATTGCTTGTGATTTTTTTGGTCAAATTTGTTGTGGATGCTGACATCACACCAGGGAGAAGATTTGCTTAGTCAGGCTGTTTTTCTGGAGTAGCTCTTCAGTGGTTTTGCTAGAAATAGACAAAATCTAGGTTATACAAAAAGAAGGATTCACTGCTAAAATTTAACACCTGACTCCTAACGCAGGAATGATCCGGTAGTTGTATTTCAGTTCTTAGGTGCTTTGTGAAGATACTGCAAAGATATGCAGAGCACCAGGAGCGATGCTAACACTCCTGCTTCTTGCACCCTCTCTGACGCTCACCCAAGGCTTGGGGAGCACGTTCACACTGGACACAACTTTCAGCTCCCTATCCTCTAGAAAACTTTGCCACAGGAACCGCAGGGTGGTGGCGACCTCACCGTGGAGGATGAAGGTGCAGTTATTTAAAGGTATTTGTGTGCTTGACAGAAATACTGTGTGGACTTGCACTTAGAGCAATAAAATCAGGAGGATCCTGCCCCAGACTGTGCACCTGGAATTTATAGGGCTGTCCTTCCCTCAGATTTCTATGATTCTGTCTCCTCTCTGGAAATACGCAGCTGAACAGCCCACTGCTGAACTCAGCACGCCCTTCCTCCCTCAGAGGAATCAATAAGTCAGGAGAACAAAAAGGACAAAACACAAAAATGTGACGTGAGCGTGTATCATGATCCGAAGGAACTGGAGTCCCTGTTAGCCTGTCTGTCAGCACCTTCCTCCAGAAGCCATCCAGAAAGAGAGAAATGCTTTATCTGGGGAATCTAGGCCAATCCTTCTGGCTTCTCATCAAGACTCTCTTTCGAGTGCGCTCCTTGGCTCCCTGTGCTGCTGGCTGCAAGCCAGAGATTTCTAGACCTAATCCACAGCTCGAAGCCTCATTTCCTCTGCTGCTAAACATAGAAACTGTCCACGGTTCTTCAAGGGACGGTAACGGGAGCTTCAAGTGCTCTCTCTGTCTTTTCATAAGAGTAAACTTCCCTGCGTCCTTCAGATCCATGGGATCCTATGTTCCAAGCCCATTTTTGATCCTAGCCTTGGGAGAAATTCAGTTTTTAAATGCCTGAGCTTCCACCTAGGTCAAAGCAGCAGGACGAGCAATCTGCAGACAGCGGGAGGTATATGAAAGCAAGCGGAGGTTCCTGTGAGCCACATAAGAAGTATCAGGAGCCAACAGCAGCAGCATACTAAAGAGCTGCCGTGCCTGATTCCTTAGACTATAAAGGTTTGTCTTAGCAGGCTGCACACTATCTCCTGTAAACGCCGGGAGTAGTGAGACTGTTAATCAGCCTAATTTGTTTGTTTGATTTTCTTCTTTTCCTCTACCTTACACCTCAAGGATACAATTAACCTTTGCTTATAGTCACAGGTAGGCCCTTTCCAAGAGGATCTGAACTATTACACGATTCCCCGAAAAGCTATTAGCTACTAAACTCTGTATTAAGAGCCTCGGGCAGAGCTCATGAAAGAATAGGAAAGATACCTCCTTGTTTAGAGGAGGCTGGGTCCCTAAGACCATATATAGGAGTAGCATGGGACAATTACGATTTAGTTTATGGCATGGTATTTAGCCAAAATGACCTTTTAGAGTCATTTCTATGAATGACTCGTCTCCTGCAGTGCCTTTCTGGGAAGCTCTGGCCCCAGTGGGGATGCGCTCCTCGCCAGGCTGATCGGTTACAGATGAACAAGCACTCCGTCAAACAGCTTGAGTCGAACTGTGAACTCCAATTGGAAAGTGACCAATAAAAAGAACAGAGAAAAATGCTCTTCTGAGTCTAGCGTAACTGTTGTTTTTCTGTAAATTGCACTAAATGAGGAACTGATAATAAGACTGCAGCCTTAATGAAATTACAAGTGATCTATACATGTGTCTCATGTGTCTCCAAGCATAACAGCCGAGCTCTTCTCCAAAGCAGGGTGAGAAGGTGACTTTGCATATTTGCAGATCACAAGTTTATTTTTATGAGATGGTTAGTAGGGGTCAGCAGCACGCTTGCAGACTATAATAACAACAGGAGTGATAGGAAGAGTTACTTTTGTTTTGAAGGAGAATGTCTGGATGAACATGCCCGTATTTCCACTGTTGTTTCCTGCATGCTAATCTCTGTATGCAAGCAGGGACAGATGTATGTTGCTCATCAGCTCAATAAAACTTTTCCATTCTGCTAACTTTCCATAAGCCCATTACATAGGCAGAGGCGTTATTTCTGCAATTGATTTGTGTCTGCAACAGCATAAAATAAAAGACACACTCTTAGTGAAAAGAGATGAGAGGACGAATCCAGCATTTGATGTACTGGCTAGAGTAGTTCTCTAGCTTTGTTGTCTTGACACAACCAGGAGTGTTTATGTGAGTAGGCTTGAAAGCAAAATCTTCCAAGTTCAGCAGCGCTCAGGAGCGGCCTGACCCACCTGCTGCAGGAGTGGGGTTCCCGAGATGTAGAGGAGTTGGGTTTTACTTAAAAGGTCACCAACTTCTCCATCCAAAATTTATTCCTGGACTCAGTCTGTTACTGTAAAATCCCCATGAGGCCTGTATTTACAACAAAATCAGTCTTACCTAGATGGAGTCTGATAATAATTTATTAATAGCTTATATTAATAGTTTTATGAAGGAAATGTTTTACAGAGACAGCAAAATGCTCAAAGACTTTCAGTAACACCAGCTGTTGGAGCTGTAAATGTTGTGAACAGAGTCCACCTGCTCATATTAAGGGTTCCTAGTCACCCACAAGATAGAGATGGTATGCGAATAAGATGAAATGAACTGTGATGTGCCCTCATAAATACATGGCTATAGGATGCTTTTTTTTTTCTTTTTTTAATGCAAACGTGTTTGCTGGCAGACACACTGGGACAGATGCCTGCTTGAACCTTTGCTCTTTGGACACAGGGAACCCTCTGTTTCTGCATTCATCAGTTATTTTTCAGTAGTGCTCCGCACTGCCTGAACTGCAAGAAAATTAAGCCTTGGCAATGTTGTTCAGTTTGCTGAATTGGCCTGGTTTCCTGAAAAACTGAACCAGATCACAGGAGCAGAAGTAATACCCGTAATAAAAAACCATCCCCATTCTGCAGCGAGATCTAGGAACCAAATTCCCTGGCCAAAGCTTTCTTTTTTTTTTCTGCTTTTAATTTTGATCCCTAAGAGTGCTGAAGCCTGCAAACGAGGAACAAGGGGACCAGGGGCTGGTGCACAGGCAGGCTGGGCACTGGGTGGCTGCTTCTCCTGGCAGCTCCTCGCCTTGGCTGCGAGCAGCGGAGCTGGAGCAGCCGTGGTGCATATGCATGCTACTTTTAAATGCTCCACAAAAAATATGGCCCTTGTTTATTGTTGTAGTTATAATGGCTTGTCATTTAGATGGGCCTGTTTAAAATTTATACCCACTTAATATCATTTTATTATGCAGTTAATCACAAGGAAGAATAAAAAGGGAGAGGGCCTGAACGCCTCTATTTCATTTGCTTAATAGAGCACTTCAAGTGGGAGGAGCAAAAGAGAGTTTGCTATTAATTTATTTTAGTAGTATAGGCTATATTTAAGGATTTCCGATGGTGCTACCAAATAATGCTACTCTGAAAGGCCTTAAAGTTTCCATTACTAAACATGAAAGGAACCAGGACTCTTCAAGATAAAATTAATCCCTCTGGGAAGGAAATATAGCTCATCTCAAGTGTTGTAGGACTTTTCTTCCTAGGAAAGTGGCCCTCCTGCTCATTCAGGTCATCCTTGGGACCAGTGGTTTCCTCTCCCTGTGCTCTGCTCCTGCTCTTTGACACCACTTCCACACCCCATGTTAATGCTTTTGTTTTTACATTTACTGCCCATTCATTTGTTGCCACTTAACCCAGGTCAACATCAAGTGGCTGTAACATAAACTGAGAACAATTAATGTTTGCAGCACAGCCCTATTACTGCCCTAGAGCCTCAGCACCACTGGTCCTCACTCACTCAGCCTCATACAAACTGACACGAAGAGCAAGGGCTCCAGACCTTTTTTTTTCTCCTGGCTTGTAAACTTGACTGCAACCCACCAAAACATCCTCCCTTCCTCCCGAGGGGTTTTTCTTCTTTCCCTTGTCTCTATGCTCTGGGGAATTTCTGTGTTGGCTCTGTACATTGCTCCCTTTAGGACAGGAAGGGTACATGGCTGTGGGCCATTTGTGAAGAAATATCACTGCTCTCCTTAGAGGCACCATTTACTAGGGAACTGTAATAAAGGCGCTGATCCCAGCATGGCAGGGCACCTGGGCTGTCTGGCTGAATGCCTCCCAAGCTGTGGTCCCCAGATGCTACACCAAGCGCTCAAATTCAGATCACTTCTACTGCATTGTCCAGTAACATTTTGGCACCAAGAATCTGAGGTGGTCTGTGTGACCTGGTAAAGGTTGGTAGTAGCTTTTGGTCCCCAAAGCTTAGGAGACTACTTCAGGTTATGCCTTAGTACAACAACTGGATGAGAACTTTGGCAACAATTTGGAGACATCTTTGAGAGATTTTTAGTGTTGATGGATGATATACAAAGAGAGATAAAGTGGTGCAATATCGGATGTCTCTTCTGAGCTTTAGGGTAAAGCAAGAGGGGGAAAACTCTTTGATGTCTGGGATCTTTGTCCCTTCTAAGCAGCTTTACTTTCATCTTTGTATTTTATCTCTTTTCTTTAATGAGATTGTCCAAAGTCTTTGAAACTTACACAGCTCTTTTGCTGCTCTCCCTGGGATTTGGGAAGGTTTTACAGCAACAGATTAAAAATATCTTTTGATGAAATACAGTTTGTCTAGTGAGACCCCTGACCCCTGGCACATGATCTGTGCCTGAAAGGAAAGGGGAGCACAGGACTCACCAGCCAGACCTGCCCCGGATGCACATCCTGGCACCTTTACAGCTTCTCCCAGAGCCAGACGTGCCCATTCCCTTGGCTCCTGGGCCCAGTGCTCAGGGATTTTGCACACAGAAATGAGAACTGGAGTTGCAGGCGCAGAATCTGTGACACTTCTTTCGCTAAGCATCGTTTCTGCATCAGCCACTATCCAGTCTTAACTTGGAAGTGGGAAGACCAGGATATACCTGCTGGGAACAACTAAATTTTTGGTGGATTTGTTCACAGGGAGCACCAAACTGAAACCTACCCACAGGACAAAAATCTGTGCACCTGGCCTGCTGGCATCTGCCAGGAAAAGCACAATTTCTTGCCAGGTACAAACACCAATTCCCAACATAAAATGATGCACTTGCAATTTACTCCTAACTCTTGAATAAAAGTTTTCTTGTTGGAAAGTAATCAAAATTTCTTGATTGCCTGGTCACGTGCAAATTTTCCCTCCTTGCTCTTCCATTTTCTCTTACCCATTGTTATGTCCTGTTGTAAAGCCGACTGTTTGTTTCCTAGGCACCCTCAGCCAAGTCAGAAAGAGTTTGTCTAGAATCCACACAGAAAAAAAAAATGAAATCAAACATAAGCCAGCAAAAATTTGGAATACCTGGCTGCTTTGGTTTAATGCTGATTTGAAGCTGAATAGTACTGGTGAAATGCTTCACCGATTTCCAAGAAATTCCTCCTGAATTCTCGCTTTTATTACCCACCATCTGAATCACAGTTGGAAAGAGTGTGGGAGGTGCTGGTAGGAAGCCTCTTGGTGTTGCAGCCAGCTTCTGCAGTGTGGGAAGAATGCATTTGTTAGCAAACTTCTTCCTGTAGATGTCCAACAGCCCTCCTCTGCCTGAGCTCACCCTCTCAGCTCAGGCCAAGGGTCTTTTGGGGCCATACCGATCACACTGTGGGATGAGCAGGCTGGGTTATATCACAGGCTTCGCTTGTCCACTGATCCACCTGCCACTATGACAGCTCTAGAAGAAGCCACTCAAACATTTAAAAGGTGGTTTGAACACTGTGAGGAACTTGGGTGGAGATGGGAACGCAGATTCCCATGGGTCACTCAAGCTGGGAGGAAAATTATTCACAAACGTGAAAGATTTTATTTCACTGAATCTGCCTACTTGCTGTTGTCAGAAAAATTCACAGAGGTACAAACAGAAACACTGTTCCTGGAGACACCTAAATGCATCATGCTCAAAATGAAGGGTGCTTTAGAGGGGACACGTATTTGCCTTGCTTTTACTCATAGATAATGTCTGCCAGTAATTCTGTTTCGTGCTATGAAGCTTGTAGCTCTGATTATTCCCTGTAGACTAGGTCTTTATAACCACTTGGAGATTCAGTCTTCAAAACACTAAAACAAACTGAGGCCGTTATGCTTCATTCCTCAGCTTTTCCTCTGGAAAGCTGAAATGACAGCTTTTCTCCCACTTTGTTACTGCGCAGGCCCCTGCCATCACCCCAAGGTCTCCTAGGGCTTCTCCTGATACCTTTACTGCATCTATATGCAATATTTTATGCCATATGATTCTGATCTGGCATGGTATTCCTGCAATTATACATAGCTGTTGGTTGTCCTTTTAAATAATGGCTGTGATCTTCATTTAATTTCTTTCCCCTTGTCTTCTAAATAAAGTAAAAATCATGAGACCATAACATCTGCTTTTGCCTGCTTCACTCCAACAAGACAATGATGAAATTCAAACATTAAAGGCAGGAGGAATTATTTTGACCTCATCTTCTCCTTAGGGGGAATTGAAGGAATTGAGGGAACTTCATCCCTCACCTCATGCTGCTGGTCACTGCATCCTTTCCTAGTGGGGCAGGCAGTTTCTTCAAAAGTTTTCTCAGGGATTAGCATCAGTTATGTGCATAAAAGCAGTGAGTGAATAAGCTGTGACAGAAACAGAGTCATGTCCTGTTATGCTGTCCTTTACCTACACTGCAAATATTTGGCATAAGAGCCAGGCTATTTTTAATTATATTCAGAGCATCCAGCAGCATGGAAATAAACTCCAAGAATGAGAAAGCATCAGCTTGACTTTCCTGGGTAGCGGGAAATAAGTCATGACTCAGTTTTACTCTTACACCTGTAATAAACTTGGCAATATTTTTTATAATCTTCTTTATTTCAGCGAGGAACTCTGTGCAAGTGTCAATAAAAATAAATATATATATATAAATCATAGAACTAATGTCTTTGAGCAGATGTGCATGGTAGGAAAGAAGGAAGAATCTGGGACAGAAAGTAAAAAGGCAACAAACACTTAATGCACTTGGCTTTCTAATACCATTTTTGGATTCCTAGCACATGGTTTTGCCTGTCTCATTTTAATTTGGTTTTGTGCCTAAATTTTTAATGCTGCTATGGCCTCCCAAGCACCACACTGAATTCCACTCACAACAGCCCCATGCTAAAGTGACATGTAACCCAGTTCTGAGTTCAGATAGATGTACCCCAAGATCTCAATTTCATTGAAGCAGTAAATGGTGATTTTTGAAAATATATTTCCATGCCTTATTTAGTGCCAACAATGCAAGAAAATCACCCCTAGAGTGTTCTTTTAGATCTGCAGATCTAACTATAGGTCTATAGATGTATGGTTTGTAACTCCAGATTTTCAGTCTCCATTTAAAAATACAGTCACATCCTCCATCCTGTTCTAGTTACAAGATTAATGGTCCTCCCTTTGAGAACTTCTAGGATTTGTTTTCTTACTTTTTAATAATGCTGCTAGTGTGGGACTGGTCAAATGTCTTCACTCCTTGCTGACCCAAAACTTCCACCTATGAGGAAAATGTTATTGGTATCTACAACTGGGAGGGGGAGCAAGGAAACCCACTGGAGTATTGCCTGTGCACCCAGAATGCCCTAAAATACAATCTTAACACCAAAACCGTCAGGTAGAAAGGTGGAAGACTCTCCGTGAACTGCCAGTGTTTCCATAATATATTTATTTATTTATTTATTTATTTATTTATTTTGCAGGGAACTGGACTTGATGGTATAAAAGGCCCCCTGTGGCTCTCTGTTGTGTGCCAAGGAAGTATGTGACATGGAGGAAGGATCTATAAATTAGATTCCCTGAATTTCCCACAACGTGCTGCTAGTCCCTATTTATTGTACCAGTACAAGTCCTGGATATCTCTTCGGAATGCAAACCAGTTTGGAAGGAAAATACTGTAATAATTTGCACTTCATTCGTTCTCATCCTCCTCTGCTTTTTGTATCAGACACCTTTTTAATTAGAATTCTGTGATAATGAAATTTTGCTTGGGGAAAATTGATTTTGCTATTAAAAAGTTACTCTAAAGTAACTAGGATTTGAAACAGTAATAGGTGTGAAAGACCAAAGCAGAAAATAAAATGTATTTGAACATAATCATATTATGGTTTTCCATTAGACCTTAAATTATGTGTTGAATACAGCAGCTTTGAAAGAAGTACTTCCCAATCCTCACCCTGAAAAGGACCGGTGTCTCGGAGCATGGTGTTTAATGAACTACCTTAACGGTGAGGAACTTCTGTACTCATAAACTGACACCTAAAATCTAGGACACGACATCTTCCCAGTATTAATTCAAAATGAATGCTAATAAAACTCTAGAGGACACAAATCACGTCTGGGAAGAGCCACATGTGCCTGAGGGCAAACAGGACTAGTGTTGCTGTTCCTGAAACCCACAAGGTCCAAGGGCGAGGTGGAAGGCCAGGCTATGCACAGCACCTGGGGTGCACAGGCTCACAGGGAGGGAAGTGAGAATTAGGCAGACTCACAAAGGGCCATGCAGGAGCCAGAAATTGATTTGGTTTGGTTTGGTTTCAGAAATTCCCCTCCCTTGCTTTGGAGGTTGTTTCCTGTTCAGCTCATGGGAGCAACCACTGCATTGTCTCTGATGTAGCTGGAGGAGTGTAAGCACTGTGAGACCGACATTGCCTGTTCCTTTTTTTTTTTTTTTCTTTTTAAAAAAGAAAGATTCATGGACTGACTATTTGCTTGCCTCACCCCATTAACTCCCTAACTGCCCAGCAAACCAGGAAGAGAATAACATCACTTACTCTTGCTGATGTTAACAGGAAAAATGTATTGTTGGCAAATAATAAATACTTCACATTTACGAGTTTGTTTTTGCACATAGATTAATGGGTCGTGGGTGGAAATTATGCATTTATAATGCACCTTTCACCAAGGACATCAAAATGTTTTAAGGGAATGGATCTTTAGTGACCCCACTGTGGTGTGCTAAGGAGGCAAGGGATGTCCCTTTCTTGCTAAATGCTTTATATGGATTTTTTTGTTTTTGTCTTTTTTTTTCCCGACTGTTCAGATTCCATTCCACAAGCTGAAGAAATATAAGAAGAAGAAATCCTTGCAGTTTGGTGGACGGATGAGTCCTTAGCTCTTCTGCTCCCACCCTGCAATGGAAGGCGCAGCTCAGCCAGCATCTTAATCCAGAACAGCAGTAGGCTTCCAAAGCACGTGCCCTGATTGTCCCAGAGTGCATAACCTGGGCTCCTTTCAGAAGAAACTGAACAGGAAAATGGGCTCAGTGCACTCTCACAATGTGTTAACCTTTCTCAGGCTGGCAACAATCAGCTAAGAGAGGGTTGCAGGGTTCTTACACACCAGGTGTCCATAATCAGGCAGTTTCCTGCTACCCACTGCCTCCCTCTGAAGGACAGTCAACTGAATCCTCCGCCGCACACCCTAAATACAACCACCATGAAAAGAAAACCCTCTGTAACTCTGGTCGCAATAAATACAGTCACATATTTCAGCTCCCCCCATGTCAGCCTGGTCATTTTGATTTAGTCTTTCTGAGGTTTATTCGTCTATCCCACACACAAGCCCATACATTGGTTCTGGAAATCGATGCTTTAAACTGGAAAGATGTCATTTATCTAGACAGCATTGCAGCATATTCCTTGTAAAGATTCCAATAGATTTGTAAGCTCCAGAGTTTATTGGTATAGATGGCCACATAACTGAAGTATTATCTTAGCAGAAACTGCTTCAGGTACATAGATGGATTTCTGCGCAATGAAATTGTATGATCAATCATAGGATTCAGCTGCAGAAAGCAAAGCCGTGTTGATGTATCTCTGCCATTAGAAAGACATTTTAAACAGTTGCTTTCTATCTTGACTGTCACGAATCTGGAAATCATGATGCAAGCGCTTTCCTAGTCCAGCCAGATGAGGGCTGATAAGGTCTTACTCTGATGAGGACACCATTTTCTGAGATGGGGTAGGGCTCCCTGTGCAAATGTGCACGACACAAAAAAAAAAAAAAAAAAAAAAAAAAAAAAAAAAAAAAAGTATATTTTCAGCTAGAAAGAGTTATTCAGGCAGCTGTCACTTGTGGGTAAGAGACTTAGGCCCAGAAATTGGTCCAAAGGAAATAAAGTGCTCATGTTTGAGTTCATTCTTCGTGATTCAGCTACCCTGGTAGATGCTGGTGCTCGGCTCTCATTTCCAGCATTGCGCACAGTAAGATGGCAGAGGTCATAATAAACCCCTGTGACTCGTGGAATTACAGCACGTCCTTATCTGCTTGCACAGGTTGGGCTTGGTCCTGCTACTCTTACCCTTGTTATCTTTCCACCTCTTGTAAATGTCAATCTAAACAGCCCTGGAAAGGCAGAATCTCAGAAGAAACAATGCTTTGAATCAGAGAAATATGAAAGGTGTCAGGACTCAGTACTTGAATTGTTCCCCACTTCCTCAGGCCAGAATTTCCCCACAAAACATAAAGACCTGCGAAACAAGGAGGAGATGGTGGATTTTGGTAGTGCAGCACCTACCTGATAACTTAATAATTAAAAATATGGTAAAAAGAGGTTCATTTTGATGACATGTGCATAATAGTCAGAACAGGGGTAATCTAAAAGAGAATACCCTGTCCTCTAGTGTTAATATCCCACTCGATTAAATAAATAAATAAATAAAGTAAGTAAGTAAAAAAACAGCTCATCCTTTTAAGTGTCTGGTACCTGATTTTTATAGGGCCAGAGCCCATAAAAGTTCTCACAGGGATGAGGCAGACATACTTAAATCAATCAAACAGAACATTTCCTCATCCCTTTCCCTGACCCTATAGGAGTACCTTTATGGTCTAATATATTTTTGACTAGGCTGACTTTTATAAAAGTGCTCTGGCATAAGTGGTTATAAATGTGTATCATCTGCTCTTTATAATACATTAGCTCATTAAAATAATTGTCTTAATTTGATTGTTAAAGTGATTAATAGGGCAAGTGTTAAAGGAAATTAATACTCCAAATTGAAGCATAACTGCAGCCGAAAAATAACTCCACTGAATTGATGTGGTAACAAGGTAGAGGCTTGTGCTTAATGAACCTTGGGAAGTTTTACATATAATGGCAGGTGGAAGACAGGATGAAGACTGTTCCTCTGTGAAATGTGCCTGGGATGGGTCTGTGACCTGACCCCAGAGCCCTCTGTCTAGCCCAAACATGACCAGACCAGGGGCTCTGAGGAAATTGGCCAGTGTGATATTAAGGATAAAGAGATGCAGATCAAATTTAGCAAGATTTTACACTGTCCCCTGCAGCATTTGTATCTTGAAGCTAGGGAAGGATGGGTCCCATGAACAGGCTGTTATGTAGGTCAAAAGTGTGCTGGCTCACCAGGCTTAGAGGATACTGTAACATGACTAATGTCTGGAAATCCATATTAAGGCCCATTTCCACCAGTGACCTGGATGATGGCACAGAACATATATCCGCAGAAAAGATGAGGATGATGCAAGACCAGGGAGGATGACACAAGCAGAGGGATGTTGCTAACGTGACTAATGGCAGAACATCAGTCCAAAGGGATTATCTTACAGCATCACTCCTCAACCAAATGGAGGCTACAGAAGGTTGTTTATAAAACTTTTACTAATTACAGAAGATTTCCATGCTTCATCTATCACCTTTCTTTCACACGGGATCTTCCACTGCTTTCAAATGTCATACCCAATGCAAGAGCCCATATTGCAATTAACAAATACAAGATCTCCCAGGTATCTGCTAATAGACTGCATTTAATTCTTGCCTCTCATTTCTGGCTTTTAGACCACCTTTGGATGGAAAAGAAAGGAAGAAAATAGAGAGTCAACTTGAAAAGCAATTCTTTCCTAGCAAAGCAGCCTCTTCTTTTAATTCAAGATCTAACGCATTCTCCCAGTAAATTCTGTTCCTTTTCACAGGCTAAGAATAGCAGTGACTTTACACTCAGCGTGCCATTTGATCCATGTAAAATGATGAAATATTAAATGTATACTCTTTAAAAATTCCCCCCAGATAACCGGTTGCCAATCAGTTTCTCCAGCAAACCCATGACAGCGACAGAGACAGGTTCCTCGCAGAAACTATTCTTTCACATATGTTGGAATTTGGAAGGATGCCACAGCCTCTCGCATTGAGTAACTGAGTTATACAGTGTGTATTGTAATATCAAGCCATATATAGTAACACCAAAGAATGTCAAACAGCCATTTATTACTGAGATAATAGAAATCAGGGCTGTTTTCTCCCTGTGTGTGATACTCATTTACTGCTCTCTCCTCCACTGTCATTACACTCACACCTCCCTTTCCAGCTAAGCAATCATTCATATTAAGGCCTATTATGCACTATCTCTATTTGGAAATAGTTTATATTCAAGCTTAGAAATTAAGGGATCTATTCAGCCATTGATGTAACAGGCCTTGGAAAAGTCTCTTTAAAAGGCAAAAGCAAAGCTGCAGCATGGAGGGAACTGTAGCAAAGGAAGAGGCTGGATTTCCAGGCTTAAAAGCAAGAGATGAGAATCATCATTCCCTAAGACAGCCTGTGCAGGGTGGTGCGATGCCCACCTCCCAGGGAACAGAGCTCAGCCGTGCAGAGCAGGGAGCCCAGCAGCGCTCAGGGCAGCATTAGGCAGCAGGCGGCTGCAATGGATGGTGCTGGCCCAGAAAAGGGTCAGCACACAGCAGGATCCTGGGCTTTGCAGAGCCAAGGACATGAGAGCAAAGGAAAGACCTGACGGGCTAGGCAGCACTCTTGTCTGTCCCACTCTGCTAACTGCTTTGTCCTGAAGGACAGAGAAGTAGTTTTCTGTGCCACCGACCGACAGCTGGGGGAATTTCTCCTGGCAAAGCTCAGTTCCTGTGCCGTGACCTGCGAAGGAGGGAGCAGTGGCATCGCTAACCCTGATGCCCAGAGTACAAAACCACCTGAATCTGCCGGCTCTGAGAGATTCACGTGTGAAAATAAATAGTTATTTGATTCCAGGTGGAATTAGCCATTTTTTATTATTTTTTTTTTCAAACCCTCAAAAGAAAGGGCTTTCCTCCTTGGCGATGCTGTGAATTCCTACTGAAAAGTCACTTCACATTTTTTGCAGCAGAACCGACTTTTGCATGGCAGCAGTGGTTTTGCACTCATGTGAACTCCAGCATTTGTGTCTGTGGGGAAAAAGTAATTGCTGGAATGAAAATCGTTTCACATTTTCTGTCTTCAAAGAGATTTTTTTTTTCTCCCTTACCTGTTTTGCTGCTCTGATAGCGCTTCCCACATTTCATCATTTGTGCAATCTAGAAATTGTTGTTCTGTTCATTCCAGCACTGCTAGATCAGAAGGGGAGAAGAGGAAGGCTTAATACCTGTTCTTGCTTAATTTTCAGGAGCTATGGAAATGAACAGACAAATGATTGTGATTGAAGGACCATTGAATATTACCATAAGCAGTAAATTCTTAGGAAAGTGGGTATGAATACTGATCACACTGCAGCTGCAAGAGGTAAAGTTTCTGGAATAGAAATGAAAGGCTGGAGTTTTATGCAGTTTGCTTTCAATTCCATTTACAGTTATTTCTTGTTTTTATATCCTGTTTTATTGAAATCCATTTTTTACTTTAATGTTTTTGACTTGAGGATAGGTTTTTGCCGTGAGAGCATGAATGAAATGCCACACTGTAAAGTGCCAGTTAAAATTATCAATGCAAATACTGCAGCGATGGTTTTATGAGTCCCTTGGCATTTTTTCCCCTAAGTGTTTCTGGGTTAAGAGTATTTATTTGGCTTAGTGCAAACAGAAACTCATGCCTCATAATTTGATTAGTGTGTCAAAAGGTAGTTACTGTTTTTGCACCTGTCTCGGTGCTGTTCTGCTGTTTACTTACTCCGTGGATTTTCTTTCATTATACATTCTCAAGGAATTTTGTGATGGATTAATCAGTCTTAGAGACTGAAATGTTTTGCTTGACCCCAGATAAGATGAATGTAGGCAAATGTAGCATGTACTTCTTCAAGGCAGGCAGACCATGGTGCTTACTGGGTTTACCTGCCATGACAGTAAGTTTTACCTTTAGCTGAGGAAGAATAAATGTCTTTTCCATTCTCTGTCTGCTGAACCTGCCAGTAGTGGGCACATAGAGCAACATAGAAGTGGGTGAAGAATGGGAAAAACAAACAAACAAACAAACAAACTAAGGATATTAGGCTGGGTCCTCCAAAGCCACTGAGACCTCAATATAATGGTGAGATCCTGCACTGGAAACCTTCAGCATTGTTTGCCACAAACCTTCCTGGAACTTTATGGGAACTACATGCTTCAGGCATCACAGAGAAGCCTGCAGAGGATTCGGAAGGATTTCCCTGCTTTTGGCTCAAGGAAGAGGTTCCCTTGTACAGGGGAATGGAAAGAGTGGCAGAAAAGGCCCTAGAACAGGGTTAAGATCTGTGATAATAAACTGAGAGGTACACCTATAACAACTGGAAGAAGTCAGGAGAGACTTTTTGAAAAGAACTGAAAAATCTTCAGATCAATAGACCATTTACTTCAGAATGCATCTTTGCATGTTTCAGATATAATTCCCTGTGGCTTATGATATGGCTGCAGTGTTTCATTACAATTCTACTCCAAATAGATTTAACAGAGTGCAGAAAGTACACTTTTCTTGTAAACCATCTTGCTATCTAAGGATTAAGAGGGCAGAACAAAAGGGGCAAGGAAATAAACATTGGATTAATTTAATATTTTGAGAAATTGCTCAGTACGGGTAAGTCTTAACAGTGTGTACCAGGGTTTTGCAGCCCTTGGCAAATGGAGCAGAAAATGTTACACAGCTCATAGCCTACAAACACTCGTGAACCCTAAAGCAGTTGAGGATTTTATAACTCAGCTTGGGCAAGCCCATCTGAACAAGTATATTGGATTCTATAGGGGGAAAAAATAAAAATGA